GCATCGCTAGTAGTAACAGGTGCCTTACTAGTAGTAACAAGAAGCTAGTAGTAACAGTGGTGTCGACGTCCAAGACCGGCCTAAAGAGGCAAGTCCTGACAGCCACCCGCCGGTGCGACGCGGGCGGAACGTCGGCGGCAACGTCTCAGGCTTACGTCCCACTTCGTGGACATCTCCCAGACCTTGCTTAGGCAGGAAGGATTGGGAACTTGCTTAAGCGCTCTTGTTTCTGTTGAATTCGGGCGTTTATCATAAGCATGCAGCATAAAAACAACATATTGCTATCCATATTGCTTCAGTTTCTCACGATAGCCGTCGACACATGCGGGCCGCTGTGTGATTTGAAGTATCACATAGGGACAAGCCACTCAGCCATTTGTCCAATCCCCTTAGTGTGAATGGATCACATGTATATAGATGTATTCTGCAGTGACCACTCACTGAGCAAAGGAATTTGTTGCTTAGTTTGTGATTCTGATGGTTGCGTATTATTGCAGATGCGGTGTAGAATACATTTGCAGGGATCCTCTAGCTGCTAGCTTACCACAGTCCAATTATGCTTCACATTTGTGAAAGATGAGGTTCCAAGGTCCCAGTGCGACCCCCATTGCTGAACTTGTGTTTTGAAAAAGGCGCTACCACGAGCAGAACAATTTCACCCTGATGAACACCCTGTTGTCATCGTGGTGGTCAACTCAAACATGCTCTTTCAACCTAAAGAGCAGGCTCTTTCACATGCTTGCCAAGGGAGTTCCTTCAGATCAACGCGCAGATTGCCATGAAACTCGTTTCTTGGGACGAACGGACGGACCCAACAGGAGGAGTACGGACCGACCGACGGACCCAAGGACGAGCAGAATGGCAATTTTTCGATTCGGGGCTCCTGCGGCCTTCTGTGGTGCGAAGAAGACCTCACGTGAAGACCTCAGGTGACCTCACTTCAGAAAGACAGGCCTAAGATGAGCAGCGGTCGGACGCTACTAGGAGCATTTCGGGCATCGTTACTAGGAACGGTCGGACGCTACTAAGGCCTTAAAGGACAAACAAAGAAAAGGAATTGGTCACGCCATCTCACACCTGTCGACTTAACAAAATTCTGGGCGCCAAACGAGGCCCAATCCCAGAACCTGCAAGTGCGAGATCGTTTTCACACAAAACTTTGAGCTGCTGGCTAAGCACTGAAGGGTTTGCATGTTCAAGCAGATAAGAACAGCAGATTTGCAGATTGATCATGGTCGAACACCTGTGAACATCTCACGTTTTCTTCTCAGATAGCGAGGGCTATTGCGGTTCTTGCTTCAAGTATAGGAAGAGGTGCATTTTTGTGCAGCTTGGAGCCTGGGGTGCTGGTGTCGCATGTTGCTGCCAGACGTGGATGGCCCATGTGCGCGTTGGAGCTTGGGTGCTGCCCAATGTGGTCGACTGCGGGTGCAACTGCTGTGCTGCCGACAATGGTCTTTGTTGCCGACAATGCATGTACCCCGCTCAAAAAAGAACTATCCTGGCGTAGCTGACAAAAGGGTAGAGGAATTGTGTCGAGAGCGATGATAGCCGCTCAGATGGTTGTTTCATGTTCACGCTGTGCTGTCAAGGAACTCCACGTTTTGCATTTTCGTGGTGGACAACCGACGAAGGCGAAGAAGAGCGTTCGAGACCTTAGGATCGTCTTTGTTCATCCCTTTGGGTGTAGGTCGTCCCTGCGGAACATCACCTCCATCCTGAGTGCCAGGCGAGTGCTGGGGTGTACCTAGCGGTGTAGCGGAAGATAGAAGTGGTGTCGCGTCGTGTCTTGTTCAAAGCACATCAGCAATGGACACATGTTAATTTGATGATTGTTTCCTACATGACCTACGCCTCAATTTTGGTGGCCTCTCGCAGACAGAGCTGTCGTAGCTTGATGTAGCTTGATCTCCCTTGGCAGCTGCTTTAATTCCACCATGGGGAGCTTTGCATGCAGCTGCCCATGGTTTCCTTGCTGTCCTAATTTTATACTTTTCCCTCTTACTAGCTACGCTTACCCCACTCATCCTTGGATTGGCATGCAAATCCGCGGTACGCAGTGCAGTGAGTACACACCCCCGTCCGGCCAAGTCAGACCTAAGAGAGAAGTCCGTGCAGGGTGTCAGCAGCCCCAACCATATGCTTCCTAGTAGCGTTCTTTGCTCCTAGTAGCGAGGCCAGGAGCGCCTAGTAGCTTCTTGTTCCTAGTAGTAAGGCCAGGAGCCCCTAGTAGCATCAGAATGAGGCCAGTGGTTTGGCCAGAAACATGTGTTCAGAATGACTAAATGCGCAATGTATGAATCCCTTGAAGGTTTCCGGCACAAATCTCCCAAGAGGTCAATATAAAAATATATAAAGGTATTTGGAAAATGAAGTCGGATACGGATATGGCCCCAAAACCAAGAGTTCGGTCATGCAACCGCTGGCAATCGCTAACTACTAGTGCTAGATAGCAAAAGCAAGGGCCAAGACTCAGACTTTGTGACTGAAGGTACTGGACCTTGTCCTTTGGCATCAACCGCGCATATGTGGACGCCTTCAACCAGTTTGACATCACATCGGATGACCATAGCCTACCACACGTTTGAGTGGAACATCGGCCTTTCTCGGGTGGGTTTGGGGGTAGCCCGAGGCACAGGAGCATGGCTACGAGATTGATTACGTTGGAAACTCAAAAGTCAAACGACTTGTGAGCAGGTTAGTAGTAACAAGAAGCTACTAGTAACAAGTGCATCGCTTCTAGTAACAAGTGCCTTACTAGTAGTAACAAGAAGCTAGTAGAAACAAGTGCATCGCTTCTAGTCCCTGTGAGTTCCGCAGGTCCAGCCTGATCCTGCTTTACATTACCCAGGCAGAAAAATTGGCCTCGCACATAGACCGCGTATTGCAAGATAGACAGGGGAGGGAGCTGGAAAGAGACAGAAGTGATTCAATATTTCTGTACATATTTTATTTCACGATCTCATTGATACATCGAGGCTGGGCCAAAGTCAAGGTCGTCCATGACATGCTTCGTGAACGTGGACCTGAACGCTGCGCTTATGGTGTTTCCATCGATTCGGACTGCCCTTGCCGGCGATGTTCGTCGCGTCTTCCCATTCTGACCGATGTCCCAAAAGCAGGATGCTTTCATCCGGACCTCGGAACCGTTGTCAGCCATTGTGACCGACTATGCCTTGAACGAAGACCAGTGGCTCGTCCAAAATCGCTCAGGCTTGGAGACTTGCAGGTCATTTCTTCGATAGAATGACCCCCCCACAAAAAAAAGGATTGGCCTCCACCCTACTAGCGATGGCCTCCAACCTACTACTATAGCGATGGCCTCCCCTACTAGGGATGTCCTCCAACCTAATAGCAATGGCCTCCGACCAATATTTGCAATGGCCTTGTCTTCTTTTTCCAAGGCAGATCCTTTTTTCAGAGGTGCGAGAACTATCCGAACTTCGATTTGTGTCCTGTAAGCTGGTGCAGGAGTATCACTCCGAAGAGGGCTCACGAGTAGGCAAGGAGGACTACATCAATGGCGGTTTCTTCATTGCATCTGGGACTAGTTGGCGTTACTTCAATCTCAATCACGTTACGAAGAGCTTGCAGAAATGCAGAACAACTCATGGCATTCATATTGTTCAGGTGGGACAAAACATGACAAAACCACTAGTAACTAGTAGCGCAAGGTCATTGTCAACATAGGAGAAGAACCGGCAAGCGCAGGTGTGGGTGCTTTAAGGTACGTAGACGTTCCAGCAACGATCAATGCCTCTCACAGGAGGACCCTGCCGTCCCCGCCCCGTAGAGAAACGCAATCAGATCTTCGCCATTCGCTAAGGTGAAAAACTCTCCAGAAGGATTGCAAATTTTACAAGACTGGTGCCTCTACTGTTCGTATTGACAGGGGAGCAGGCTTGAACAGCAAACCGCCTTCCCTTTTGTGCAGGTACAACGTCCCAGAGAAGTACGAGGATTGTGGTGCATGTTGATTGCAGCAAATCAGAGCATCCTTGGTCGCAAGGACATGGCACACTTGAAGAAAGAGAACCCCCAAGGCGGCACATTCAGAATTCCCCTCCTTGGTATCCGCAGAATGGTTGAATTCTTGATTTCAAGGTTTGAACTACTGCTGGGATGTAAAGATGCAGCCCAAGTATGGACATGCCGAGATCTTACAGCACAGCCCAGCCACTGCCATGGCTGGCAGACTTGGGGTCATGCCAGAATGGAGCATAGCAACTAGTGGCAATCAATTCTCAGCAGACTTCAGGTGACTGTGCTGGCAGCAAACTCAGCTAGGATTTAGTTTTTGCGCCACAACATGCATGAAATTACTACATATATATAGAGATATTATAAAGAGCCAATACCATGTTGCAGTCTAAATGAAAGCGTTCGACGCCAGATTTCTCAATGGCTATGGATGCTTCAACAACGCGTCGATGTTGCTCCGTTGCCTGATGTGTTCTGATGTTCGCCACTTGGGAAAGGCTAGCTCTCAACTCTTCACTGCGCCATTTGGCTTGGTGGTGAGACACAACTGGTTCAAGGAGACGTCATCGAAGCAGCGCGCAGCTGTGTGATTTTTTCAGTGTCGACTTCCACCAAGTGATGACTTTCGAGTGGCCACAGGACCTTCGCTTTGAGCAGGAAATGAAAGATATCTTGCTACAACGACTGCAGAAAAGCCACTCGATCCGCGATCCGCGTTTTCTCCCGCACGCGTCAAACGCGTTCGGCGTTTGGCCGGGAGTGCGATCTGTTTTCTGCACAAAAGTGCTCATCAGTAACCAGGGCGTCGCTACGAACGTAACAAGGAGCTACTTGGTTTGTTGGTCATCGCAAAGTAGGTTGGAGGCCATCGCTACTAGTGGCAAATAGCTACTACATAGCTACTAGTAGCTTCTTGTTCCTAGTAGCCATGGCCTCCAACCTACTTGCGATGGCCTCCACCGATTAGCTTCTAGCTACTATAGTAGCAAATTCCTCCCATTGATTAGTTGTGGCATGTGGGGCATGCTATCGCATGCTATCGAGGATACGGCTGCATCGTGTGTCAGAATGTCTACGATTGGGTGCCATGCTCAGCTGGGGCCGTGTGCAGCTGGTCTGTGACCTCCAACTCCACAGGACGAGTTCAACAACACGGATGTGGGCTTGTGAGGTGAAAGGCATGCGGTAGGCCTGTGCGGTTGCATGCCGTAGCTCAGTTGGATGAAAAGAGATGGTTGCAAGGCAAAACATTGCTCCATACTGTTCCCTTTTGTCAAGGTTACATGCTATGTGTAAAGGCAATAGTCGAAGGAGACGTCAATTCTCACGCTATTTGATGCTCTCAAAAATGGCTTTCAGTGTGCCTGGCATTACTGCTCAATCCACGAAGAAGGAAAGAGGGAGACTGTGTCGGATATGACTGCGCCACATGTCCGAGATCTTTGGAGATGTGCGATTGGAAATCCGAGCCTTGCTATGCTTTAACCTCAATGCATCCCGTGTGACGTGGAGGAGCCCCTAGTAGCTTCTTGTTCCTAGTACGGCAAGGAGCCCCTAGTAGCTTCTTGTTCCTAGCTATAATTGAAAAAGCCAGAATTAAGCACAAGCTGACCCTTGCGAAGCTTCAGCATGTTCTGAGGAGATGGTATCGGAGTGCTGACACTTTTAGGAACTGAAGGGGTGTGGCCTTGGGGCACCTGCCGCCAAGAACATCGCTGGAACCCCGCAGCTTCGGCTGCAAATCGGTCCCATAAGCTGCATTCTCGCTGGTGTGAGCAATGGCTGTGAATTGTGTTTTGTGGATTACCTTGCCACCATGGGAGCCTTTATTTGAGAGTTTTGTAGTTTTGTTGTGATTTGTCTCTTTTGATCTTTTAGACCTGTTGTCATTCCTTTCCTCCTTCCGTCCATTTGTTCCAAGGAGATGGTGTCCAACATTGGCCACGCACTGGACATCGTCGAAGCTCATGCGGAGGCGGCAAACATGAGTTCGCATCCGTCCTGGGCACCCGACGTATCCGAGGTGATGGTGATGACAAATGAAGGAGTGCATACAGATGGACCGTAGGCCATGGTCGATCCCAAACGGGTGAGGAGTTAACCTGACACGCAGATGTCCTCGCCTGGCTTCGTGTCCGTGTAATGATGTATAATGCAAGATTTTGCCACTGCAGTTGCTATTGGGCCTATGTCATGGTGCAGTGTTGGGCAGGAAAGTATTGGTCAAATGGAATGGACCTTCGCTACCTGGACAGCTGTTCTGGCAAGGCATCCCAGCAGCTCCAAAAGGACACCAATGAGCTCATGGCCAGGAGAGAAACTCCTTCAGAAGCCCCCCACGTTGAACATCATTGAACAAATGAGACACATTTGAAGCAAATCCAGATTTCATTGTTCAAATGTGTCAAGTTGATTCCAAACGTGTAATGAGCGTTAATGAAATGGAACATCATTTAAGACATGTCAACGTTCCTCTGACAGATTTCCAGCTGTTTTGGTGTCTCACGGTGGCCTGGCAGGATATGCTGCTTTCCGCTGCCAACAGTGGCCGCCTTTCGAGGACGGGCCTCGAGAGGGCTGAGAGCGCAAGGGCCAAAAGCGCTGGACCGGCCTCCAACCCAAGAGCCATGGCAAGGGAAGGGAAGGGAGGAAGGAAACGAAGTCAGAGTTGTGGAAGGCTCAGACATCACTAGCAACCCTCAGAGCGCTTGGAGGACACTGGTGTGCCGCCGGTGCTATGATGGGTTTGGCCTTCGACTACCGCGTTATGTCGAGCGATGTGGGATGCTGGGGAAGCATTTGAAGTGCAACCTTTGCTATCACATACCGTGCAACGTAGAGATACTATGTAAAGACCAGTGTAAAGACCATATCGTTATAAAAAACTTTCATTGGAAAGAACCTGTTTTCAAAATTTAAAAAAAAAGTCAAAAAAAAGTAAAAAAAAATCAATCCCAAAAGTCAAAGTCAAAAAAACATCAAATTGAAAAGTCAAAAAAAATCAAAAAAAAGTCAAAACAAATCAGCAGTCAACAAAAAGTCCAAAAACAAGTCAAACAAAAACTTTGCATAGGTAAACAAGTCAAGGAAAAGCTTGTAACAAGGCAAATTGCAGCCTTTTTGCTTATGGCTTATGGCTTTCAGTCTATTAAAAATTCTAGAACCTTTTTGGTTGTTCAACTTTCACCTTTTCCAGCCCCAACCCCCTACCCCAGAGTCGCAGGATCCCTACCCAGCCCCAGCCACTGTCCCAGGGTCTCTTCAGCCCCAAGCCAGCTGCTGCTCAAATTTTGGTGCAGGTTGCTGCCAGGGCCAGGCGTTGGGCTGGCTGCGGCTGGCTCCTGGCGGAGGGGTCAGGTTGAGGTCGAGCTCAGGCAGGCTACAGGCGGGCTGGGGCATGCGGGGGTGGGCCGGCAAAAAAAGTCAAAAAAAAGTGAATTGGAAAAGTCAAAAAAAGTCAAATGTGCGGATCCTAGCCTTGGCGGATTACTGGAGGCAACCAAAAAGTCAAAAAAAACAACAAAAAAAAGTCAAAAGTGGAAAAAGTCGAAAAAAGTCAAAAAACAGTCAAAAAAAGTCAAAAAAAAAGTCAAATGTGAAAACCAAGCGCGGATCCTAGCCTTGGCGGATTACTGGAGGCAACAAAAAGTCGAAAAAAGTCAATTCTGCTCGCGACTCTGGGGCCGGACAGGGCTGGGTACTTGGGACTCTGGGGTGGCTACCAGGGCCACCAGGGACAGGGCTGGCTTGGGGCTGAAGAGACCCTGGGACAGTGGCTGGGGCTGGGTAGGGGTCCTGCGACTCTGGGGTAGGGGGTTGGGGCTGGCTTGGGGCTGGAAAAGGTGAAAGTTGAACAACCAAAAGGTTTCTAGA